CAGGTCCGTTCGTTCATCACGTTCGTAGCGTCCGATCGCTCCTAGTAGCGAGGCCAGGAGCCCCGAACGTAGCGTCCTTACGCTCCTAGTCTAACACCGACTGAGATCCACTGAGCATTGGAGAAAGCGCATGGAAGAACTAGATAGCTGAACCCGCATTGTTTCCCGCACCCTTTGCGACGACTGTGGAACCTCTCAGGCATGGGAAGAGGCCGATGTGAATCAGGTGCACATCTCGAGGTTTCGCTCGTGAAGAATGTGGCAACTAAGTTTGAACAAGATACAACGATCAGCCAGAGGAACTCCCAAACTCTCAGCCAGAGTTGCTTCTCTCGAAAACGCAAGCTTTCGGTTCCAGGTGTCAGAGAAACGCTGGAAGAAGGATGTTCTGCAGTCGAGTCTCACGGAGTGAGGTAAGCCTCTTTGCCACTGGCTCTGGCGTTGCACCGATGAGGTCGGGTGAATTGGGAAACTGCAGACACCAAAAAGAGAGGATGGATTGATGGGATTTTGATGGATTGATGGCCACAGCAGTCTGAGACTGCAGACTGCCATGCAGACCGCCATGCTTCGCCATGCTTCTCCGGCTCCCAGGGCCGTGATCGAGTCCAAAGCACTTGCAGGTGCCTGTTGAAACGCGAAACTCAAAGCCAAAGGTATCCAGACTGAAAGCCTTGCGACTCGAGTTCGCATAAACTGCAATTTTGTTCCTGTGGTAGGTAAAGCTTGTCGGATGTACTATGGTGCCAGAGAGGAAAGTGCATGCCTCAGCTGGTTGGGCGAACTAGCGGTTACTCTGTTGGGATTCTGTTGGGGTTGCAGAAGTATCTGCTGTGAAAAACATGAATCACAAACCTGCTTTCAAGTGCCCCTCAGGGATTCCCTCCCTTCAGGATTCACGCAGTTTGTCGATTCTTCAACAGGAGACTTCCGTTGCTACGACCAGTTTAGCAAAGGATCACTATCCTGTTTTGACCTGCCAACCCAATCTTCCTGAGATCTCTCTTTCCGTCTGGGTGATGGTCAGAGGGGAAGTCCACGCCTTGGGTTCTCTATTGGAGGTTGGAGAGGCTCTATGCGTTTTCGGAGAGGTAGACACCACTGTCAAATGAAAAGGACACTGGATTTTCACATGGACAACCAGACATAGATTGAAAAATCTCTGTGAAATGTCCTCTACAAATTTGGTCAACCCATGTGTTGGAAACGACCATTTTGTAGAGAAAACATTGGTTTTCTACAGAATCATTGTCCTGGGTGTTCCTGATTTGTAGAGTGATCAGGGTAGATGCAAACACATGATTTGCAAGGCAAGGTCAATTTATAGAAACGGCATTTCCTTACATATCTTTCCGTTGACTCGAGCCCACAATAATTTTGTAGAGGGTCAGAACCCATTTTGTGGAGATGGTTGTTTAAGCATCTTCCTGTTGACACAATTTTCTGTGAACCCACTATGGCCAACCCCCAACCCAATATTATAGACTTAATGTTTCTATCTTGGGGGGCTTGATTTTATAGATGGATTGGTTGGTTTGGACCTGGGGTGTCGCATTTGTAGGTACAAAATGCCCCCCCGGGGTTGTCGTGTGAATTTTACAGGGGATATTAAACAACAAATAACTAAAATACACATATGTGAAACATATATACACATGATCATTATGTATATTATATCTAATCCACAGTGATGTTGTGCGACCAGTCTTTTTGGGCAACAATGTACCTCGAGGAAACCGAACTGGGGAAGTGACGTCTCTGAATCGAATGTTTGTTCTGAGGCAGCATGGCATATGCAGTGTCACACTCAGCCAACCGCGGAAGCGCGAAAGATCCCAAGCGAAAGGCTTTCCTGGAAGATCTGGAACACGAAATCGGAAACGCAACAGTGGTAGTTGCATGCCAATAAGTCCACCCCTGCAGGTCAGGTCAGATGATTCAATGTTCTTTCTACATGTTTCTGCTTGGTGTCAAGAACGACATGGTAGTCAGGATCGCTTTGATGAGTGGAGGCAAGGATGAGTGATAAGGAGAGCGATTCTGGGCTGGGAAGCTGCGGTTGACCCGGCCTCGCCAAACAAACTGAGCCAAACGGGGATACTAAGAGCGATGGTCATGATTGAGACGAGTGGCAAAAGGGCGACACATTGTGATCAGCCACACCCGGGGATACTCCTACACCGGTCCTACCCGAAAGTGTTTTTTTCCGCGGACATCCCGAGTCTCCCGCAGGCGTGCAGGCGTCGAGATTGTGCCTGTTCTCTCCCAAGGTGCAGAGGCTTGGACAGGACGACATGAATCGACACGAGGGCCACCTGCGCACGATCTATGGCTGATATGGTGATGCCTTCCAAAATCCGCGGCGAGGACGCCGTGGCTACGTCCAGGAAGTGATGCGAGAAGATGAGGAGATCATGAAGAGTCCGAACCGAGGGCCACAGTCAAGCTTTGGTCCAGTCTGCCTTGCTCTTTGGATATCTTTGGTATTCTTTGGTGTTTGAATCGCTGAAGTCCCCCCCCCCAACTACCTGCTTTGGGTCGACAATTTCCGTGTCCCCTTTGGGTCAACGAAGTCGGAACGTTGCCCGCAGTGTTTTCTGCCGTGAGGAAAGGGGGGAAGGCTTCGTCCTTTCCGCCAACCATGGCGCCTTGCTGTGCGGCCAGAAAGACATGGTGCGCCGCGCCCCGTCTTTGGTGGTGATGGTCCCAAAGAAAGAGAGAGGTCTCCAAACCGTAAACCTGGGCGGGCGAAAGAAATGGGGCGTCACACAAAGTCATATCATGTCATATCATATCAGTCGGGTTTGCGTGCATTTCCGTTGACAGAATTTAGGACACACAGCAACACACATGCAAGTGGGGTCAGTGGACAAATCTACTTTGGTATACTTCTGGAGACAAGTCATCCGTACGTTTGAGTAATCCCAGGTGGTGGGATGTAATTGATTGGATTGGATGGACAAGAATTCCTGAACTCGCAATCAAGCTTTTTGGCAGGTTGCGGCAGTAAGGCAGGTGTACGAGGAGCTCGGTGTGCCCGAGGAGAGCTAGCTTCTTTTCCTTTGTCTGGTACCAGGATGGTCCCAAAACTTGAACTCCAAGCTGTTCGCATTTGTTCGCCAATTAAGTGTTCAAAATCCTTGAAATAGAAAGCCGCCAGGAACGTACTCTGCTCAACTTTTGATTTGCCTGCGGCCTCAAAAGAACAGCATTGGCTGCGTCTGAGTGATGCTTTTTGCAGAACCAGTCGCATGTTTCGCAACCAAAAGCCAGGCTTTTCCAGACTTTTCTGGGACCGGTCAAATACGGGCGAGCAGCGACTTGCGTACGATCTCCCAACCGCCATCCACGGACCCGGGAGAACGTCGTTGTCGCCTTCGTGCAGCCGTGCAGCTGAAGCCGCTCAGTCGGAAGCCAACCTCATGTGTAAGCTGAGAGCGGAGCCGTCTAAAACGGTGAACTGAGTCATAAAAAACTGCACACCTTAAGGTCCAAGTGGTCCAAGCTGAAGAAGTTCCTTCGTTTGACCTTCGATTAGCTACAGCATCTAGAATCTTTTCACCATGAAGATGTATTGAACAATATTCAACAGGCAACACCAAACACCGAACTGAAAGCCGGTGTACCATGGCGATGGCCTTCGTAGCGCCGTTTTCCTTTGGCCGAGGCTCAGCGTTTTCGAAATAGACACTGCAGGGATCTACTGTAAAGGGCGCAGGTGTTAGAAACAGCTCTGGATGGAACCAGTTGGCTTTGCTGTCGCTTGCAGATTGACTGAGCAGACTTTGAGTGCATTTTTTCGGAAGTCACTTTCCGATCGGGTCCCCTGCCTCCTCAAGCATCCGCCAATCGCACCGACTGGCCACGCAGCTTTGGCTCCCACCATGATGACCGACAGTGACAAGTTGACTAAACGAGTTCACACTGCGAAAATGACACCATGAACATGACCATTAACATGATACCGGAAATGGCACCATGAAAGACGACCTCCCCTTGCACTTGCACTCATTTTGTTCGACTTCCCAAACATGTTTGGGGGAGTCAAAGCCTTTTCAATGTCTCAGCGATAGCTGCAGGGCATTCATGAAGGCAGGCAGGTCAGTGTCGGTCAACTTCTGTTCGCGACCAATCGAAAATGGTACTGTATGCCACTGAAGACTCACCAAATTGATTTTCAAGGCTCTCATTGTTGCCCTTCCAAAGCTGCGAGGGAACTAACTTACGTAATTACCAAACCCTTTCAAGCTACGGGAAGCCAACGGGGCTATACTTGCACCTGCCTCCTGGCAGGTCGTCCGAAGCGGGTGATTTCGGTTCGGGTCCGAACCGGGTGAAGCGGTGACCTACTCGGCAGGCTCTGCTGGATCCGAGCTCCTCAGATCAAAACGACAGGACGGTTGTCTCCGGAAAGACATGAGGTAGTGGGACCATGTGGGACCTGTAGAAGGTGTTTTCTTGTTTTTTTTTTTTGTTTGAGTATTCTTAATTTGTCAAACAACAACATTCTTGAGTAGTGAAGTGAGTTAGGGAGGTAGTCTTCCAACAAACTGTTGCGGGGAAGCTGATGGATCGGGGTTCATTCCCTTGGTTGCCGCGTGGCGTCATCTCAAAGATTGATGGCTCCTCGGTGTTCCGGCACCGGCCTCAAGCACCCAATACCACGGGAGACCAGTGCAACGTGGAACCCCTTAGAAACATTTTGGTGATAGGCCTTTGACCAGGTTTTGCCATTTCCTCCAGGTCTCAGGAAACCATAGGAAACCCTTGTTCGCAATTTGGATGAACCCAAAGGTTTTCACGTCAACGTTTTTGGTTCAAGACAACTGGACATGCAAGCACCATTTGCAACAACCAAAAACCCCTCACAAGCTTTCACCGCGGAAGCCAAACTGCATTCGCCAAAGCCCCGTGGAAGTACACATGGAAACACCACGGAAGCCTCGAAGTAAACATTTCGCACAACTTTTCTACACATTTTCATACCCTATGAGAAATTACGGCGCTGAAGCGTTGCACCATGTTGCACCAAAATATGGACGCCGCAATGCAGTTTGTGGAAGGGCCGCGCAAGCATTGGCAAAAGCAAGTCATGAGTATAAGGGATCATAGAACCGGTTTTGACCACCGCACACCATGGTCGTGGGCCAGAAGCCCACAAGAGTGCAAAGGTCATCATAAAGTGACACGTCTTTCTGTCAAACAGGCATCATTGTTCTTCGGTCTTTTTGCTTCAAATCAACAAAACCCAAGGATTTGGCTTCAACTGCACTGCCGTCTTGGGCTATGAGCTGAGCTTTTTGCAGAGCGTTTCGATTCTCCAAGCCTTGTGCTCTGCACACACCTTCGCCAATGCAGCGCTGGTCCAATACTTGCTGCGAGCCCCAAAGAGCCGGAGAGGATCGGAGAGGGGGAATTCAACCAGGAGTGACTGTGTCGGAGAGGTTGGCGTCAAATCGAACATTTTCTCCTTGCGGGACAGCTCTTGGAGAGGTTTTTTGATGGAGGGTGATCGTCAGATTCGTCGCAAATACTGTGCCTTTGGGATGTTGGATTTTGGAAGCTTGAAATCCTGCGCAGGTGCATCGTTTTGTGAGATCCGCTGTTTTCTGCGGAGTCAGATTGGGAGTGGCGTTTAGAGGGTGGTGTTTTTGGGGTGTTGGATCTGGCTGTGACATTGGGATTTGCGTTTCAGGTTGTTGCTTCGAAGCTGTGTTTTCGCGACAGGTCTCAGCTCAAATGGTGGTTTTGGTGGATGGGAGTGTGCGGAGATTGTGCTGAGAACGTGTCGAAATCATTCCAAGTGTGTGGTGTGGTGCAAAATTTGCTGAAGTTATGAAGATGTGATATCCTCACTTTTCGTGGAAGGCGCAGTACTTTGTGCGTGTTGCAGGTGTGGAAGTACAATTTTTGTGGCAGGCGCAGGGAATCGTGAGGTTGCGAGGTCTGCTGAAGGTGAACGTCGCTGTGACCTTGAGATTGGCGTGGCGTGTCAGCGGGTGTGGCTTGGAGGGTTGGAATCGCGAAAGAGCTGATTGATGCTTTTGCTCCGATGGGTCTTCCCGCTTCACTTTCGGAGGAACTCTCGTACGAAACTCTCGTACGAAACGCTCCATTGGAGACTTGACGCATGCAATTTGGAGGAAGTTTCGTGCGAAGCGCTCGTTTTGCAGACTTGGTGTGAGTTTTTGAGGAAGTCTTGTGCGAAACGCTCGTTTTGGATACTTGAACTGACTGTGATTTTTTGAGGCAGTCTCGTTGTAGTACCAATGAAGCTGTGGCTTCAGAAGTGGCAACACGGGAAGCAGCTTCTGTGGGAGCTGGCCTCAGAAGGTGGTACGTAACTTTGCAGTGCCAATGTAGTGCGGCTGGGTAGTACATTTTAGTGCGGGAAGCACTGTGGCCTCAGAACTGGCCATTGTAGTATAAATTCAGTGCTGGAAGCAGGTCCTGGGAGCTGTGGTATCAGAACTGGCAACTTAGTAGTAGTGCAAATGCAATGCGTGCATTGTATGTAATTAATCTGTGGCACACTGTGTGGCCAGATGTCGCTGTGCCATGCCTACTACCACTACCACTACCACTACCACTACCATTACCACTACCACTACCACTACCACTACCACTATACCACTACCACTACTACTACTACTACTACCACTACTACTACTCCTACTGCTACTGCTACTACTCCTACTACTACTACTACTACTACTACTTGGCCGGCCGGCCGCTATGGCCAGCCGGCCGGCTGGTCGCGAAATAGCAGGCCGGGTTGCCCGCGCTGTCCAGAGATCTCAGCCGTTTGTGTTCGTTCGGAAGGCTTCGTTTTGTTCGCATCGTCCGCGTCGGCCAAGGTTCGAATTCTGCTCCTCGGACGACGGGTTTTGCCGATTGGATTCTTTGGCTTTGCACATGCGGCGCTTGCGCAGCGAGCTCCTCCGAAGCTCTGCTCAGGACCGAGCTGAGTGGTGACGAAAGAGACATGTTCGTTTGGCCTGCATGTTTGGCGCATGGCACATGTTTAACTCTTTGTTGCACTGATCTTCATTTCACCAAGACTTGTCCAGGGGATCTGTGAGAAGATTTGTGAATCAATCAGGGCCTTTGTCTGGGAAATCAAGAAGAAACCATGAATCACTGAACTACTGAGCTCCCCGAAAAACCTACTAAAACCTCCTGTATATATAGGTGTCATATCTTCAGAGCCACAAATTGAATTGCCTTCAATCATCCAGATAATGCAATGGGCCAAGCCTCCACAACGCCATTGTTTGGGAACATTCCCCAAACATCCACAAACTGCTTGAGCACGAAACATCGTGATAAGGGGGTATTGAGCCGCCAAAAGCATCGAATGTTAATAGAGACACCTCAAGACTTGAGACGATGGATAGGATGATACCCCAATAGGTCCGATGAGCTAAGGTGCTCATTCGACTCATTTGTAGCTTGTTTTTACAGGTTTTACCGGTACCAAGATCCGAAGATGTGGCCGGAACATTAGGAGGTTGATGTATGTAGGATGTTCTTGCTGTTCCAAGTTTCGGTGCTGTAGATCTAGCAACTTCATCTTCCCCGGCGAATGGGTCAGAATGGGCCAAGTAGTCAGATTTCGTGAATGGCACATGGCACCAAAACAATGTGAATCTGATCGTTCACCTCGTGAACAGTGTTTCCTTTTCCGTCCGAGTGGATTCGACCGCCACGACATGTCAGTCCGCTTTTCTTCTGCAGGTTGCAGGACGATTGACCGGCAGCCTCAGACAGGCTGTGGCCCTGAGTGGACGAAAGACTTGGCACACATCACGCTGCAACGCGTAACCTGTCGACAAGCGGCGGTTGGCAGGTTCGTCAGGCCACAAGCAGCCTTTGTGGGTTTTGATCTTCAGAAACCATTATTCTTGTGCTGACTTTTGTTGGGTTGGGTATACTTTGGCGTGACAAATGGTTGGTTATTGAGTCGATCGCCCAAACACTTGGCAAGCATTGAGGTTCACTCACGGACCTACGATATTCCGGTATACAAGGGTGTTGGCTCTTTCATAGTAGCGTCCTTGCTCCTAGTAGCAATCTACATGCACCTCCAAGATGGGCACAGAGAGATGCATGAAATCTGATTTGTTTGCTCAACAGAGGCAGCCCGGAACGGATTGAGATGTCGGATGGAGAAGTCAATTGACATCATTATTGCTTTCATTGCTGTGTGTTTGACAGCGTGTTGCTGTACTACACCTGTACCTGATTTGGTTTTCCCGAGGCTTTTATATTTGTCCCGGCAGAAGTACTACAGCCATGTGCCAGTGGGAAATCTACTTGCTTGCATGACAGGCTTCAAGGACTGTGGTTTGGAAACATACCATGCAACATTTTGTCCAAGCTGCCTGAGATTTCCTGAATCACTCCATTTGTGTGCAGGATGCCTCCTTTATGCAATGGCAGGTGGGGAAGAATCTGGGAGTCTACAGTCAAACAAATCGACAACGCTAGGATGGTCGGTCGAAAGTTAAAGATCTGCCGGATTTGCTCGTTGATATGTGCCTTGCAAGTCTTTCATTCGCTTCAACATGCCTTGACATCGTTTGTTGAGGGGCAGAGCCCATGGTGTCGCGTCGGAAATCAGGTGCTCATGAAGTACGCCATGCAACAGAGCAGGGCGAAGAACGGTGTCTTTTGGTTCTTCGACCAGCAGATGCATGGTGGCGTTCCCGGAGAGAATCCTGGCAAGGTGGGGAACTGCTTGCCTTTTTGATGCTCCAAAGAAATACAGCAGTCTGTCAAAGAAATAGGGGGGTTGAAGAAGAACATGGAGATGTGGTGCAAGCAGAAACAGATCCAACCCCGTTGGCTTCGGGGTTCTCTTCATTTTCAGAACCTCATCCCTGGTCCTCGCTTCCGATTCCGCACCGGCACGACGTGGCCAGGACCGGCACACTTGGCGCAGCTTCGTGGTTTACAGTTTGCTGCGGAAGGTGAATAGCTCCAAGGACTTGGACGTCAGTCACTATCTCTCGACTGTCCGTTTCACAGCTTTTTGGGTGTTAAGGCGAGAAAAAGTGAACTGCCAACAAAAGCAAGTCACGACTCTTAGGTTGGAGTCTGGCCATCGCTAGTAAGTAGGTTAGCAGGTTGGAGGGCATTGCTTCTAGGTTGGAGGCCATTGCTAGTAGGTTGGAGGACATTGATATTAGGTTGGAGGCCATTCCTTGGAAAAGAACCGGTTCGACGTTATAAGTCTTTGCCGGCACCGCCTGCGCGTTGCCACCAATTTTTCCGCCCAGACACTCCTCACGCCCATGTGTGCCAGGAGCACCGTAGACCATGGGCGGCAGAAATTGGAGTTTCTCGAGGTAGCACCTCGGAGATCTTGCTGAAGGAATTGCCAAGCTTGTGTCCCGACAGCACGTTCTGTGCAGTCAAAGCTTGTTGATAGGTGGACATGCCCAATCAACTTTCTTAATTACCAAGCCAACTCACTTACACTCACTCAATATTCCTCATTCACTTACACCCATTCACTTTGCACTCACTTACACTCACTCTTGCTCACTCACTCACCTTTGCATTCACATTCACACTTACACTCACATTCCAGTCACTCAGTCAGTCAGTCAGACAGACAGACAGACACTCACTCCCTCGCTCTCTCTCACTCGCTCCCTCACTTGCTCACTCGCTCACACACGCACATGCGATGTGGGAAACCTAGATGCCAAAGCATGCTATAGGCAAACATTTGGCATCCGTGTGCTGTTCTGACACATGTTCTGCAGATAGAAGACACGTGCTCTGACAAATACCTGAGCAGCGCTGGGCTTTTCAGGCAGATGATTTTGGTGGAGCCGGAGATTACATGGCTGGCCAGGAGCTGCACAAAAAACTATCGCGTCGAAGTTTGCAACAAAGCTATTCCGTGCTTCTTTTCTGAGAAGCTGCATTTTCTGAACCTTATCTACAATAGACACATACACAACCGCAAGGACTAGGCCATTTAGTTGGGGACATGTCTAGTAGGTTGAGAATGTTTTCTGACAGCTTAATTTCACACGTGGACAATCCGCTTTTGTGGCAATCATGGGCAATCTAGACCATCTATACACTCCTCGTGAAAGTGAGGAAGATCAAAAAGGGCTTTCTAAGTCCCCCATTCCCTTCCCCTCTTGCTCCAACTTTCGTGTGGCTGATGTGAATCAGCGATATGCCGTATACCCAAACAGAGGAAAAGGAGTATTGTTTTGAGGTTAAGCTTCAATTGGTTGCTTCAATAATTATTGGTCTCGCGCGAGACTGTTAATCTGTTGTAGTGTCTTCCCACGAACGCTTTAGCGACCATAACGAGGACATAAATGATTGGTCTCACTTGCTTCAACCTCCCTTTTCCTGAAGCTTTGTTCCTGGAGAGCGTTCGACTGAGCCCAACAAGTTAAGGTTCCCTAAAGATCTAGGAACCAAACCATTAGAGCGAGCGCTTCCTTGAAGAAGCCCGAGCTATCCTGTGTCCAGTTATATACTAGTAGCATCCAAGTATCTAGTAGCTTACTCTCCCTTTACTTACTTAATTGTACTTGATTAAGTAGGCACCTACTCAATTAAGGAGAAGGTCAGCCAAATAAACTGGATGGTCTTTCCACCGCAGGACTCGGATGCAGCCGTTTCGCGAGCGCGTTGTGTGGATCAACGCTCCCAGCAGCCGAGCGTCGTACGAAGTGGCCGACGAGTCACTGGACGTGGTCTTCATCGATGGGGATCACAGCTATGAGGCTGTTCGGGTGCCTTGGTGTTTTTTTCGGTAACTGGACCGATTCGGTCAGACGAGGTGAGGTGGAATTATGGAGCTAAGTTAAAGACATCAAGAGGACCCCCGAGCTATGCGGCCAGTCCCCGGTTTATGAGAAAAGTAGACGCATAGAAAGCCAGATTTTAGGAATTTTTAGGAACACCTGTGAGGCCAAAATATGTTGTGCAAGCTATACGTGTAAGTGTAAGTAAACCTTCTGGATTGTATGGACTTCAGGATTCCTTTCCTCACTCATTTAAACATTCTATTCTGATGGGAAACATGAAGCTCATGCCACCCCCGGATGGCCTTTCTGGCGTCCAACAGCGGCCTGAGTGAGGATGGAGGAATTGTGTTCGACAAACCATTCAATCGTGTGCAGTTGGGGCACCAGATCTGTAGAGCACCTGTCTTTCAGAGGCCCAAGACATTTTTTGTAGACTTCCAAGACAAGTGCCACGCTAGTAGTAACACGTGCCTTACTAGTAGTAACAAGAAGCTAGTAGAAACAATAAGCTAATAGCTTCTTGTTATTACTAATAAGGCACTTGTTACTACTAGTAAGGCACTTGTTTCTAATAGCTTCTTGTTACTACTAGTAAGGCACTTGTTACTAGTAGCGATGCACTTGTTCCTACGTCAGTTCTCAAATCGTTCACCAAAGGTTTTTCATTCGACCATCCATCGGGGTCTCTTTGTCGGGTCCGTCGACTAGTGAGGAAGACATTGCCCACTGGAGTGGCAAAGTGCGCCCCGGAGGATATTTGTCCGGGCACGACTTCACTCCTTCATGTGCTGGAGTGGTCCAGGCTGTGAATGACTTTGCGCTCCAGCACAATGCGACTATCAATTTGCAGATCGATTGCTGGTGGTTCAGGAAGTCAGCAGATAGGACCTGGAAATGAGCCATGGTCAACATTACCCTACAGCCAATGCTTCTTGTTTCTCAAAGAAGCTATGGAGTGTACAGTCTACACGTCATCCAACACTGGACTTTCTGTGAACCACACTGTAGATTCAGTTCTCCTAGATCAAGGAGAAGCTGACAAGTGAAAGCTGCTATAAGGAGAACAGACGAAACGATTCTGCAGATTGGAACTATGGCAATCCAGTGAGTGATGGCGGCCGCGGTCCCAGCGGATGTGACGACCACTGTGAAGGGCTTCGAACGATGTACGAGAGCCCCCACGGCCATCTGATTCCACGCATAGAGGAAAGTCTCTTTGTCTCAATCATTATATATATATAGATGCACGCCCGCTGCGTCGCTCACCACTTGCACAGGAACTGCAGATGGCACGAAGCAAGGCCGCTCCAAGCCGCTGCGAGGGAAGATTTGGAAGTTGATGCACCGCTGGCCGGTGCAGTCATGATGTATGACAGCAAGAAATTCTGGGCGATGGATGTCGTTGCTGGTGGATGTCGTGGTTGGTTCCAGCAGAATTTTCTTCGCTCAAGGGTGCGACATGAGGATCTCTCTACCTTGCGCAAGAGATCGGTTTGAACCAGGAAAAAGATAAAAGGAAAGGCCCCCGCAAGCCTGCAAGCAGTGTCAGTTTTCTGTGCAAGGAACGCGGAACCATGCCAGTGTTTGTGAGACTTCCCTTCTTGGAGCACAGTAGTAGTGGTCACACATCTTCATTCATTTTTTCGAAGCAGCTCACACACACACAGAGATTGTCGCTGCCATATGCTCGCATCACCAATCTGTATGTCCATAGTGAAGAACACCCCGTCTACTACATCCTTCTTTAGTCTTCTGTCGCTGACAACTTCGACACACCCCGCCACCGTTGCAGGTGAGGAGGTAAAGCAAGCATTGACCTTAGAACTCAATCCATCACAGGATTTTGTGGAAGACCTCCACTGGCTTGTGAATATCCCGACTTCAAATTACTTACAGTTGTGTACAAGAATCCAACAGGTGGACCCTGCGAACTGGAGGAATCCGAGAGGATTTGGATTGGAACCACCATGTCTTTCTGTTGATTTCACCATGTCTTTCTGTTCTTTCCATGCGAAACCGAGGCCAGTGATGTTGTGGACGCCAGGCACAGCGACAATGAATCGGCGGTTGGGTGGGTCAAACTCTGTGGGTGTTCAAAATGGCTCGAAGACCTCCACAGATATGTTTCTTTTCTTTTTTGGCCCTGCCTCCTTACTTAATTAAGATAGTTATAAGTCAGTAGGCGCCTACTTAATTAAGGGAACCACATGAATAGTGCGTGAGCTATCCTGCGTCCAGTTACCAGAAGCTTAATAAATTAAGTAGGTGCCTACTTAATTAACGGTGGGCCAATAAGAAGCAAACCAACTCGGTTCTCCATTCTCCCAAATTCCACAACTCCGCGCGCGAAGATGGGTGGATGTCGCTTGCTTTGGAAGACGGAGCACGCGCCATCAACGCAGTGAGGCTTCTGCCAAGTCACTCTCCGCCTTCAGCGCTCTCCTTTTGGCCCGCCATTGGCTGAGCACCGTGTTTGTCGTGATTCACATGATTGCTCTCTGAGTTTACTTTCCCCTATTGGACACCTGTCCGAGGCTAGCATTGGCCTTGGTTTCAGTTTTGGGCTCTACAGGACCGACTGAGAAGATGCATACGGGCATCTATTTTGGACAACATCGCAAGGCTTATCACATCTTTATTTGGGTTTCTATAGATGTTTTTCTCTCTATTAGGTTGGAGGGCATCGCTATTAGGATGAGGCCATCGCTATTAGGTCTGAGGCCATCGCCATTAGGTTGGAGGACATCGCTATTAGGTTGAGGCCATTGCTATTAGGTTGGAGGCCATCGCGAGTAGGTTGGAGGCCATCGCTACTGGGGTGGAGGGCATTTGAGGGCATTGCCATTATAGCAAGCGCCTCCAACCTAATAGCGATGGCCTCTAACCTAATAGCAATGCCCTCAAATGCCCTCCACTCCAGTAGCGATGGCCTCCAACCTACTCGCGATGGCCTCCACCCTAATAGCAATGGCCTCAACCTAATAGCGATGCCCTCCAACCTAATAGCAATGGCCTCCGAAGGGCATCGCTATTAGGTTGAGGCCATTGCTATTCGGTTGGAGGCCATGACGAGTGGGCTGGAGGCCATCGCTACTGGGGTGGAGGGCATTTGAGGCCATGGCTATGACGTTGGAGGCCATTGCTAGTGGGTTGGGGGCCATCGCTACTAGGGTGGAGGGCATTTGAGGGCATTGCTATTAGGTTGGAGGCCATCGCTATTTGGTTGGAGGCCATCGCTACTGGGGTGGAGGCCATCGCTATTAGGTTGGAGGCCATCGCGTGTAGGTTGGAGGCCATCGCTACTAGGGTGGAGGAGGCCATCCCTATTAGGTTGGAGGCCATCGCTATTAGTCGTTTTTCCAATTCTTTCCCTATGAGCCTATGACGAATGATCTGAGGTTGTTGAACATCGTTCCAGGCGATAGGTGGTCTTGAGTGGTTCAAAAGCTGATTCCTTTTCTGGAGTGCTGCACCGCCCACCAGGAGACAAGGGCGATTGCGAGCCATGAGGACTGCACATGCGACACCAGGGTGATGTGGATCGATTGATGGCGATGTTCGGCCGCAGATGTGGCCGTGCAGGAGCAGAGGCTCCAATGTTGATGTTGAGCAGCGGCTGTGCTTGGGATGCAAAGGGCAGGGAAGACCCTTGTCCAGGGAACTCGCCAGAAGCGTGCTAGACCTGTTGGGAAAAGGGGGAACTTCGTCACAGGTGGCCTTCCAATTCCAACACCAGTGATGCTGTAGCCAGCAACGCCGGATAATTTCTCATAATTCGGTGTGTGGAAAGAAGCCCACCCCACAATCTACAAATCAAGTGACTCACAAAAGATCATCCTCCGAGACATCTCAAGGTGCTCATGGTTGGCACCCACAAAAGAAGACCACAAGTGAGACAATAACAAGAGGAGTGCGTAGCCGAGAAGCACGAGCCCCGTCTGCCACCGTGGGGTTTCCCGGGAACCGCGGTGCAGCGCCTCGATGTGCCCCGCCACACCGCCCAAGGCAGGAAGTGGAAAGCACGGCGCTCCTGACCGTTGTTGGTGCACCAGAGCAGTCTCCCATGTCATTTGGAGACCTAGATGAATCATGATGAATCCAAAAGAATGGGCCAGTCTCCGGAATTGCCTGTGTCTCCAAGCTGCACTTGTAGAAACTTCTTGGAACTGGCAGACTGCCGACTGCTGTAATGAGTGGTTGGAGGCCATCGCTATTAGAGCATTTTTTTACACGTAAACAATGCAATTTTGCATTTTGTGCCAGATGATGGGAGCCGGCGAGGACGTCCCATGACCACATATGATTTACATCAGTTTACTATTGCTGCCATTTCACGTGAACTTTGAGGCAAGTTGGGATACAGAGGAAGACACATTTTGCAAGCCAGGTCAAAACATGGTACGAGACGTATAATGTGCTTATTGTTATTGGATATGACTTTCAGGACAACCTGCAGGATGATGGTCCAGTGTTGGACCGCCAAAAGGCCAGCTCCGTCATGCGGATCTGCAAAATGGTGGACAAGCGGACTTGACTTCACAGTCGTTCTTGAAGTGACGACTGTTGCGAGCATGTCCAATGTGACCGTCACTATGTGCAGGATTTAAACAAGAAGAGAACAGTCTGCTAGGGGGTGTTCAAATGTGTTCAAATCGATCCCACACAATCATGTCGTTTTGATGTGCTTTGATGCTGTGACGATTGCACAGCCAAGCAAGGTAGATGTTGGTCGCCCTCGCTACTCGGAAACGCGTAGTCTTCCCCGTGGGCAGCCCAGATTTGACCGGAAGTGGCACAAAATTGCATGGCCAGTGTGACCCGACCTATTCTTCGGAATCCCTTTTCTCGGGCCTGGTCTGCGACGATCGGGCTGGGCAAGCGTTTGGTCAGGCAGACTCTGAACAGCGGAGTTCACGCGAGACGGACCGCTCAGGTGTGCTGTTCCTTCCGGAGCCGGAGTATCGCGCCTTTGCGGCCAACGTGTCCGGGGACCTGGTCAAGTTCTGTCTGCCAAGGTGTTGGGAATCAAGTTCTTCACAACTTAGTCACTAGGAGGGGAGAGCACACATGAAATATGGTCAGGGACGCACAGGATGCTAATCCTCTTAAGTTTCCCTACAAAATCTAGGGACCACATCATTAGTGCAAGCGCGAGAGCTACTACTAGCTACACACCTCTCCTTACTTAATTAAGTCGGCGCCTACTTAATTAAGAGGAGGGGAAGCGGGCTTAAAAAAACAAGAAGAAAAGCGGAAGAAAGGATCTTGCCGCCGAAACTGTTAGGCCGGGAGACAGTGGCTTTGATCCTTTGGGGTCTGAGACCGAGAGGGAACGTGTAGCCATGGTGGGCCGAGCATAAGGCCTAGTAGCTTATTGTTTCTAATAACTTTTTGTTACTACTAGTAAGGCACCTGTTACTACTAGCGTGGCACTTGTTCCTAGTAGCTTATTGTTCCTAGTAGCATTCATTATTTGCTTGAACGTTTCTAATGGCTTCTTGTTACTACTAGTAAGGCCCTTTGCTCCTAGTAGCGATGCACTTGTTCCTAGTAGCGAACCATTGTTTGCAACGTATTAGAACACGAATTCATTTTCGGTTCAGGAACATGTTTTCCAGAGTTGTTGATTTGAACCGACATGTCTGACAGGGATAGACCGAAGGATGAGCCGCGGAATAGATGGGGTCAGGAGCTCCTTCTGGCCGTGAACGAGTTCGTTGTCTCCATCCCTCTGGGATCTTATCGTTTTCACTCAAAAGGACTCAAAACATGACTCCACCGTTTGGAATCTACTAGTGATGGCCTCCACCCTAATAGCGATGGCCTCCAACCTACTAGCGATGGCCTCCCCCCCTACTAGCGATGGCCTCCAACCTAATAGCGATGGCCTCCACCCTAATAGCGATGGCCTCCAACCTACTAGCGATGGCCTCC